GAGAAGCTGCCTCTGCTGACCAGCCTGCAGCACAGGACTACGTGAACAACACGTTCCAGAAGATCCTTGAGGAGGGCGAGTATCATCCAGAACAGGTGTTCAATATGCGTGAAATAGGACTGTTCTGGAAAAGAATGCCTTCCCGGTCATTCATTTTCAAGGATGAAGCCAAGGTTCATGGCTTCAAGGCATATAAGAATCATGTGACTTTTGTTGTGTGTGGAAATGCTGAGGGATTTTTGCTCAAGCCTGCCCTTATCTACAAGGCCAAGAACCCTAGGGCTCCGAAGAATAAAAACAAGAACCTGCTGCCAGTGCATTGGATACACAATGACAAAGGCTGGGTCACGAAGCAGCTGTCATCGGACTGGTTCCACGAGTGCTTCATCCCCCAAGTCAAGCTGTATCTCACGGAGAAGGGACTTGAGTTTAATGTCCTTGTCCTCATAGACAGTGCTGGAGGTCATGTGCAAGACCTATCCAGTGACAGTGTGCGGATCAAGTTCCTTCCTCCCAACACCACTTCGCTGATCCAGCCCATGGATCAAAGCGTTATTTGCGTGTTCAAGCCCCTCTACACACGAAACACCCTGCAGCACCTCGTCAAAGGCATGGACCTTGAGGAGAACTTCTTGCTGAAGGAGTACTGGCAGCAGTATACCATCGTGACCTGTCTGGAGAACATCCAGGCCACGTTGAATGACCTAAAGATGGAGACCATGAGGGCCAGCTGGAAGAAGGTGTGGCCTGAAATTGTCCATGACTACAGAGGATTCACCCCAGAGGATATAAGCAACTCAGCAGTGGATAAGGCAGTTAGGCTAGCCTGGATTCTGGGAGGGGAAGGTTCCATGGATATGACCCATGATGACATGGATGAGCTGCTGGAGACACATATCCCTTAACTGACGAGGATATGGTGGAGATGACTAAGCCTGCCAGTGAGGAGGAGGAAGAGCAGCCAGAGGTTCCTAGGGGTCAGGAGGAGGAAGTTGTCCTTGCACTTGAGCATCTGTCACAAGTTGTGAGAACTATTAAGGTACTACTGGACATGATTGGCAAATGGAACCCACAAATGATGTATGCATTGCGGTTCTGGAATGCACTTGATGGAGTGATAGAACCCTACAAAAGCCTCCTCACGCATATGAAAAGACAGCGCCAGCAAATGCCTATCACGATGTTCCTCAGCCAAGCACCCAGACACCCACTGCCTACTCCTAGTGTTCCTTCAGCAGAAGATGACGATGCACCTGCTGAAGATATACTGAACCACCTGAAGACTCTCCTACTGAGGTCCTGCCTTCAGAGGAGCAGTAACCTTGCTCTTCTTTGTTGTGCAGTACATCTCTTCATCTTCATTGCTTCATCATTGAACAAGTTGCACTATTTTCATAGGTTAGTGGTTGTGTGTAAGAACTGTGTGTGTGTGTAATTAAATGTACAATAATAATATATTTGTAATGTCTAATATGTCTTATTTTCTCTAATATATTGGGTAATACGAGTGTAATGGTGACTAAAGGGTGTTATTTCATGTCTAGAGGGCTCTCATAATGTTAAAGAACATATTTAGAAGGTCGCAAACAGGTTTTTCTATGCTCTAAGTGTGAAAATATTCGATTTATAAATAAAATATCCTACTTCGCAGAAATTCATTTATTGCGGTAGAGTCTGGAACTGATTAACCGCGATAAACGAGGGCCGACTATAACTCTTTGTAGCCTGAGAAGATCTTTTGTTAGTTGGGTTTCAAAAAGAAGTGTTTCCCTTGCTTTACTCATTTTAATAGTCCCTCTTGGGACTTACATAAGTTTCCTGTATCTTTGTTGATATGAGATAGCAAGAACTTAAGTGTTCCAGGTGATGACAGTGCATTGTGGTTTTGCAAAAGTGAGGATGACAGAGTACAGGTTTGTCATTTTTATTGTTTTAGAGGAGGAGTAGATGAAACTGGCTTTGTCTTGTGCCTGATGGTTTAGAGTATCCTTCCTGATGATTTTATCATCTTGTTTATTTCTCTTTGGTAAGATTCTACAGGCACTTATAACTGAAAGCGTAAAACCTATCACTTCATAAGGAACCATTTAATTTTTCCATAAATATATTTGATTTCCAGAACGTTTATCCACCACTTACCCACAAATTTGTGTGGCATTTTGAACTTTCCCTAGAGTTGTCATTGTGCTAGCAATTAATTACCTGAATGAATGATTATTATTGCAAGTGGAGATATTTCTGTGCCCTCTTTTTTCCACACAAGTTATAAAAATCTAAAATAAGCTTAGTCTCTGAAATCTCTGGTGTTTATTTCCTCATCCACAAAAAGGCCCATTTAACTAAGCCATTTCCATACAGGGTGGGGCAAAGTAGGTTTACAGTTGTGAGCAAACGAAACACAGAGTTTATTCTTATATTACTATTTATTAATTATTGTATTATTTCCCATACAAACAACTGTAAACCTAAATTTGCCCCACCCCTTATTTGTCATTAAACATTCTTCAAATAATACAGGGACTTCATTTTTTAAAATAATCGTTGCCATTGGAAATTTTAGGAATTTAAATAGTGCATGCTAATGTCCCTCCCTCTACTTGCCTATATGCTTAGCTTCTCAGAGGTCTCTAACTAGTCCTAGAATCTTTATTTCTATTATAGGTGGGATTTACACCCACTGTGATTTAAAACTACTTGTAATTGTGGCTCAGTTTTTATTTGGTTATTGCTGATCATCTCTCACTTGTAGTTTCCTCTCCATATGACAATCAAGAAGAGGATAATAAAAATGTCTCTGCTTCCCAAGCAGTTGGTACTCTCAGATCTTGTCATCCAGCAAGATAGAACCCCAGCAGCGCCCTCAAAGTGCTGCAGTCAGTCCAATTTTAGTAGTAATTGTGCTGCTTATAATACTTGCATAGAACAGACTTCTTAAAACTGAAATGAATGTTTGATTTTGGCAGTTATTTTTAAAATTAAATGATGAGACTTGACAAAAGTGGCAAGACCATACAGTGGAGTAAAGACAACCTCTTTAATAAATGGTGCTGGGAAAATTGGACAGCTACATGCAAAAAAAATGAAACTAGACCATCAACTTACACCCTACACAAGAATAAACTCAAAATGGATAAAAGACTTAAATGTGACTCATGAATCCATAAAAATCCTAGAAGAAACTGTAGGCAACAAAATTTCAGACATCATACGCAGCAGAATTTTCACTGATACATCATCTAAGGCAACAGAAACAAAGGAGAAAATGAACACACGGGACTACATCAAACTCAAAACCTTCTGCACAGCAAAAGATACAGTCATCAAAATGGAAAGGCAACCCACTGTATGGGAGAGCATAATTGCCAATGATATATCAGATAAGGGGTTAATTTCCAATATATATAGAGTGCTCATACAACTGAAGAAAAGGAAGACAAAGAACCCAATTACAAAATGGGCAGAGGAACTAAATAGACACCTCTCCAAACAGGACATACAAGTGGCTAAGAGACATATGAAGAAATGCTCAACATCACTAATCATCAGAGAGATGCAAATTAAAATAACAATGAGGTATCACCTGTCAGAATGGCCGCCATCAACAAATCATCAAACAACAAGTGTTGGCGAGGGTGTGGAGAAAAGGGGACTCTTGTACACTGCTGGTGGGAATGCAGACTGGTGCAGCCACTATGGAAAACAATATGGTGTTACCTCAAAAAATTAAAAATTGAACTGCCATTTGACCCAGTGATTTAACTTCTAGGAATATACCCTAAGAAACCTGAAACACCAATGAGAAAGAATATATGTACCCCCATGTTCGTACCAGCATTATTTACAATAGCTAAGATCTGGAAACAGCCCAAATGTCCATCAGTAGACAAATGGATAAAAAGCTGTGGTACATATACACAGTGGAGTACTATGCAGCTGTAAGAAAGAAAGATCTCTTATCCTTCGAGACGACATGGAGGGACCTGGAGAGTATTATCCTAAGCAAAACAAGCCCAGCAGAGAAAGACAAGTATCATATGATCTCACTTATTTGTGGAATATAATAAACATGACAGTCTGAGGAACGGGGTAGTCCCAGAGACATGGAAGTGGGGTACAGACTGACAATCCCCAGAAGAGGGGGTGGGGGGAGTGATACACCACAGAATTTATATGCATGTATGCATGAACAATGGACATGGACAACAAAGCTAGGGACAGGGTGGGGAGGGAGGGGGAGGGGGGAATCAGTGGGGGAAAAAGGAGAAACATCTGTAACAAAATAAATAAATTATAAAAAATGTGATTGATTAAAAATAACACTATGTGAAAGAAAAAAAAAATGATGAGGATATTTGAGTTGAAAAGGCATGAGAGGAGTAGTAAAGGAACTTACTCCTTTAGGGTAGATAAAAGAACAGAGATGCTAGTTCTGACTCTATTTCCCCTGCCCACCACCCTCACCTTCCTAAAGCTGGTAGGACAACACGTTACTGCACCACCTGGAACACAGCGCAGGTGCCTGGGTCAGGACCACCAGGAGCCCTCCACTGGTTTGTCAGGAAACTCAACCAAGCACAGTTTTCTCAGGCCAGCCTTGGGGGACCTGGAAAGTTGGCTTTACAGAAGCTTTCTTTAATATTCTCTATAGATCCATTTTAGCCTGTTAGGATCTAGACTACTTTAGGGTAATTAATCTGCTGAAAGGCACTTTGGGGAAAATTACAATAAAAATGCCAAAAGAAATTTTGTATTACTTTGAGTTGATATACCCACAGATATAACCAAGCTGTTTTATTTTGGGGATTCATTTGCCTGCCTTTTGTATTTATTCAATTTCTTTGAAAAAAATATTACATCCCAATATAACTTTAATGCTTTAGTGACATAAGATATTTGAGTCTGAGCTCAAAATAACTAAAACTTATGGTTTAAAAAAAGCTTTCCCTCCTTAACTCAGTAACTTTGTATAACTAAGCATCTGTCTTCTTATTTGTTCCCAGGATGGTCCAGATTCTACTGGAGGAAACCGGACAAAGCAGGAGAGTGCATGGCTATTCAGGCTGTGGTACAGCTTTGATCACAAGTATCCTTTTAAGTAGTTTCCCTGAAACATTGATGATGAAATCCTCTTGTTGAGTTGCCAGTGAATGATTTCTGATGAATAAGGAAAGACTTGTGCTTGCTACAGAGTAGTCAGTCCTCTCTTGGGACTCATGCAGTGATCATTCAGCTGCAGGTAGTCCTGGTGAGCATGTCTCTGGCCAAGAGGAATGTTTGTATATCATTAGGTTAGCTGACTCGTAGTTTGGTAGAATCATGTGGTGCTTCAGAGCTTTGTGTACAAGGGGAATATGCCTTTGTAGGTGAATTGGTGTGGTCAGAAAGGGAAGTGAAGCTTGGGAAGTTAATCTATGTGGGGAGGCTAATTTCTAGTGACTGAACCAATTTTGGCCAAGTCTGTTCCGGGCCTTAACTGGGCCATATGCAGGGCAGACTCTGTTCTAGATTTATTTGGTCCCAGGTGAAATTAGAAACCAAAAAGTTAAACTTTCATGGTTTCTTAAGTTGACATAGTGATAGGTAGCTAGCTTACATATGGTCTTTGGAGACTTGAAAAATGTTTTACACACACATTCTCTCTCCCTCCCCCCCTTTCTCTCTCTCTCTCTCTCTCTCTCTCTCTCTCTCTCTCTCTCTCTCTCTCTCTCTCTTGACCAGGAATCAAACCCGTGACCCTTTGGTCTGAGGGCTGACTCTCTAACCACTGAGAAACACTGGCCAGGACATGTTTAATATTTTTTATTGAAGTATGAGATATATAGAAAAGTACACAGATCATAAGTGCTCAGTCAGTTATCACAAAATAAACACCCTTATTTAACTCCAAACAGTTTAAGAAACACAAAATTACCAGGTCCCCTCATGCCATAACCTAATTACTACCTATTACCCTTCCCCAAATGTAGCCACTCTCCTGACTTCTAGAAACACTTAGTAGTTTTACCTGTTTTTGAACTTTGCATAAATGGAATTATAGAGTATGTATATGTTAGTGTCTGGTTTATTTGATTTTACATCATTTGTATGATTCATCCATGTTGTCACATGTATCTCTAGTTCATCTGTTTTCATTGCTATATAGTATTTCATTGTATGAATATATCATAATTTATCCATTGTTGATGAACATGTAGATTGTTTCTAATTTGGAGCTGCTAAAAAATACTGCTATGAACATATTTGTACATGCCTTTTGGCTCATGTTTATAAATAATTTTGTTGGGGATATACCCAGGAGTGAAATTGCTGTGTCATAGGGCATGCATAGGTTCAAATTTAGATGAAGGAGCCAGTTTTACAAAATGGTAGTACTACTTTACACAAGCACTTCTAGTGTATAAGAGCTCTAGCTGCTTCATATCCTCACTGACCACTGGCGTTTGCAGTCTTGTTAATTTTAGCCATTCTAGTGGGTTTGCAGTGGCATTTCATTATGGTTTTAATTTGTATTAATCTGATCACTAATAAGGCTGAGCACCTTTCCATAGATTTACTGGCCACTTGGTATGTTCTTTCATAATGCACCTGTTCAAGTCTCTTGCACATTTTTCTATTGGGTTGTCTGCTTTTTTCTTACTGATTTTTAAGAGTTCCTTATATATTCTGGATCATTATCTACATTTATATATATCAAACATATTATTCACTAGACCTATTATTTTGCTAATTATATATGATAAAAATAACCTCTCTACTTGTAACTTGCATTTTCACTTTTAAATAGACTCTTTTGATGAACAAAATTTTTTCATCCAATTCATTGATTTTTTTTTTTTGGTTCTGGTTAGTACTCTGTGTCCTGTTTTTTTGTTTTTTTGTTTTTAATCCTCACCCGAGGACATTTTTTTGTTCAGATAGAGCGGGAGGGAGAGAGAGGAAGAGAGAGAGAGAGAAACATCGATGTGAAGGGACACATCGAGTGGCTGCCACCCGCACGACCAACCAGGGCCGGGGACAAACTGCAACCGAGGTACGTGCCCTTAGCGGGAACCGAACCCGGGTCTCTCTGTACTGCAAGCCGACGCTCCAACCACTGAGCCAAACCGGCCAGGGCTCTGTGTCCTGTTTTATAAAGTGTTGCCTACCCCAAAATCATGAAGCCATTTTCCTATGTTATCTTTTAGAAGCTTCATTTTTTTTCTTCTGTGCATCTGTTTTTTTTTTTTGTTTTTTTTTTCAGTGACAGATACAGGAAATGAAAAAGTATGCAGGGAACTTGATGTGCTCTAGATGAGGTTATCATTTTTCAGAGATAATTTAACTTACATTGGGTCAGTGACTAGGTTAGGGCACTAGTAATTCCAGATCCCTTTAGTCCAATCAGGAATAAGGGTGATTTGAAGCATAGAACTTCAGTTCCTATGAAGTTTAGCCTGTTTTCTGTTTACCCTTTTTTTTTAGGGTTCCAGCCTAAAGCCCAGGGTGTTTACATAGTCTTCCTTAGAAGGCCCTGGACACCAGTTTTTGTCAGATTCACTATCTTTTTGAGTCTTCCAGATGCTCTGCTCAGCTGCTGAGGTGCCTTTAGGGAAAACGTGGCTTACCAAGTGCCAGGATCACCTCTTGGGTGTCCTCCTCCAGATTCTGGCTCTCTTCACTGCCATGGTAGCTTTCTGATGCCATTAAGCAGAAGAGTTTGTTGTGTTTTATCTTGCCCAGCTTTTCTAGTTGTTCACAGTAGAAAGGATGGTTTAAATTGCTGTTTGCTATTATTTACTATTAATTGAAATAGAAACCCAGGAATTTTTTTTTTGTATTTGAGTTTTTTTTAAAATAATTTTTATTAATTTATTTTTGTTACAGATGTTTCTCCTTTTTTTACCCATTGATACCCTCCTCCCCAACCCCCCCAGCCCATACCCGGCTTTGTTGTCCATGTCCATTGATTATGCGTACATGCATATAAGTTCTGTGGCTTATCTCTTCTCTCCCCCCACCACCCTCTCTTCTGAGGGTTGTCAGTCTGTACCCTACTTCCACATCTCGAGCCCCAGGGATTTCTTAAAGCCATATGCACTTCATGTACATCGTAATCCAGAATGCATGTTATTCCCTGGGCTTAGAAAGGATGTAGAGAACATGGGAGAGAGTTCAAAGGAGAGTGACAAAATACTAAAGTGATAAATTAATTCTTGTCAGCATTTAATACTCCACTTTCAACAATGGATAGATTATCCAGACAGAAAATCAATAAGGAAGCACTGGACTTGAACTACATTTTAGATCAAATGAACCTAACATGCACAGAACATTCCATTCAACAGTAGCAAAATGTACATTCTTCCCAAGTGCACACGGAATATTGTCCAGGATAGATCTGTGTGTTATATTACAAAACAAGTCTTTGAAAATTTAAGAAGATTGAAATCATATCAAGTATCTTTTTCAACTACAATGGCATGAAACTAGAAATCAATAACAGCAGGAAAACTAAAAACTTTACAAATATGTGTACATTAAACAACACATCCTGAACATAACAACCAGTGGATGGACATTAAACAGTACAGTCCTTAATAACCAATGGGTTGATAAAGAAATCAAAAGGGAAATAAAAAATATATTTTGAGACAAATGAAAAGGGAAACACAATATAACAAAACTTATGTGATGCATCAAAAGCAGTTTTAAGAGGGAACAAAAAGTTTATAGTGTTAAATACCTACATTGAAAAAAAGAAAGGTCTTGTCCTGGCTGGTGTGGCTCAGTTGGTTGGAGCGTCTTCCCATACACCAAAGGTTGCGGGTTTAATTCCCAGTTGGGCACATACCGAGGTTGCAGGTTCGATCCGCAGTTGGAGCACATATGGGAGGCAACCGATTGATGTTTCTCTCTCACATTGATGTTTCTCTCTCTCTCTCTCCCTCCCTTTCTCTTTCTCTCCCTTCCCCTCTCTCTAAAATCAATAAAATCATCCTTGAGGGAGGATTAAAATATATATGTGTGTGTGTGTGTGTGTGTGTGTGTGTGTATACATATATATAAATTAAACAACCTAACTTTATACTTCAGGGAACTAGAAAAAGAACAAAATAAGCCCAAAGTTAGCAGAAGGAAGGTCATAAAGATTAGAGCAGAAATAAATTAAACATACTAGACAAAAATAGAAAATAACAATACTAAGAATTGGTTTTTTTGAAAAGATAAACAAAATTAGAAAACCTTTAGTTGGACTGAAAAAAAAAAAAAAACCCAGAGGATTCCAATACATAAAATCAGAAATGAAAGAGAAGACATTACAGCTGATACCACAGAAATACAAGGGGTCATAAGAGACTGCTATAAATAATTATACACCAAAAATCAGACAACCTACAAGAAATGGATAAATTGCTTTTGTTATCCCTACTCGCATGTTCATAGCAGCATTGTTCACAATAGTCAAGATACGGAAACAACCTAAGTGTCAGTCAATGCATGAATGGATAAAGAAAATGTGTATATATACAATGGAGTATTATTCAGCCTTAAAAATGGACATCCTACCATTTGGGACAACAAAATTGAATGTTGGTACATTATCAGAGTTCTAGGATAAAAAGAGAAATTTTGAGTCTGGAATTCTTCACCCAAACTGTTAATCAAAAATGAGTAAAAAAAGCCCTGGCCCATGTGGTCCAGTTGGTTAAGTATTGTCCTGTGCACTGAGAAGTCACCGGTTCGATTCCTTGCCAGGGCACAGGCCTGGGTTTCGGGCTCAATCCCCAGTAGGTAGGGGTCATGTGGGAAGCAGCTGATCAATGTTTCTCTCTCTGAAATAAATAAAAACGTATTTTTAGAAAAAGAGCAAAAAAAGGAGGGTGGCTTTTAGGCATGCCAGAATTCAGAAAGTTTAGCACTGTGCAGACACTGTAAGAAAGGGGGAAAAACAACATAAGGCTCAAAAATAAACAAATTCCAACTAAGGAAACAACATTCAAGAAGCAGTGATTTGTTATAATCCAGAAGTGATCAAGATCTAAAAGAATATCCTTTATTTAGCAAGACACTCAAGTGTTCTCTTCTGACTAACATAGTTTAAATGACATTGTATTACACTTCCTTTAATAGTGTTCCAATCACTCTGCTTGGTTGCAGTGAATAATAATATAATGACATTAATACAAATGCTGCTTATTGGTTTTTAACATTTAGACTCAATCCATAGACAAAGCATAGAGGATTAATTATTAGTTGCAAAATAGAATGCTGCCCTGGCCAGTTTGGCTCAGTGATTGGAGAATTGACCTGCAGACAAAGAGTCTCAAGTTTGATTCCTGGTCAAGGGCACATACCTTGATTGCAGGTTCAATCCCTGGCCCCAGGCAGGGTCATACGGAAGGAAACCAATCAGTGTTTCTCTCTTGCATCAATGTTTCTCTCTCTCTCCCTCCCACTCTATCTGAAAAAAAATTAATGGAAAAATATCCATGGATGAGAATTAAAACAAAAAAGAATGCACATTTTATATATCTGCACTGTAAAATTAATTATAATAAAAATTAGAAAGGAAAAAAATTGAAAGGAAGAGGCAGGAGTGTAAATGAATCAAATTTGTCATCCTTCATAGGAGGGAGTTAAGAGCCACTGACTAAGGTTTATAAATCCAGAAATAGAAAAAATGTATTCTATACAGTTGCAATGTTTATCAAAACCACTGAGAGACTTGATATTTCATTTTTGCCCTTCTGACAATCTGAATATTTAAAAATGTATATGTAAATATTTTTTTTCTTTGAAAGATATTGTTAGAGGCCCTTCTGTGTTTGAGGAAGAGGGAGCTTGTCTTTGAACTGCCTGAGGCGGGAAACTGAAAGGTAGCCTCTGGGTTCCCCTCTGAGTTTTGTATTAGTCATTCCACCAATCCAGCTGCTGTCAGCTTCTGAGTTAAAGACACGGGAGAACTGATAGGCCTGTAGAGGCTGGAATGTGGTTGGAGGATAGAGGTCAAAGGGAGCTTGTTCTGTTTGTAAACAGTTCCACCATAGCCCACACTAGCAGTATGCCCCTGGATTTCCCTTCAATCTCCTCCTATAAAGAAGCTTTTTCTTTCTTGTACTGTTCTAAATGAAGACAGGAAGTGATGGTACTCGGAGTAGTCATTCTCTGTGTACAGATGGTTGTGACACAGTCTTACCTTCCCTTAAAGTGTCTTGGCTATTCATTCCTGCGTTTGTGGTGGCCATGTCAGTCTCCACCTTTTCGATATTGCTTAGGCTGTGGGTATCAGAAATGGTAACAACTCTATGATAATGTGACACATACTTTGTGGTGCTTCCAACAGTATGCATTTGGCAGCACACTATCCACAGGATGACAGACCCTGAGCTCTCCACATAACAGCTGACCTTCACGTTAGAGCAGTAGTCTCAACCAAGAGTGAGTTTGCTTCTTAGGGTACATTTGGCAATGTCTGCAGACATTTTTTAATTTTATTAATTTTATTTATTTTTATCCTCACCCGAGGACATTTTTCATTTATCATCAGATAGAGCAGAGAGAAGAGAGGGAGGAAGAGAGAGAGAGAGAGAAACATCGATGTTAGAGAGACACATCGACTGGTTGCCACCCTCACGACCCCAACCGGGGCCAGGGACAATCTGCAACTGAGGTATGTGCCCTTAGCGCAGTGGTTCTCAACCTTCCTAATGCTGTGAACCTTTAATACAGTTCCTCATGTTGTGGTGACCCCCAATCATAAAATTATTTTTGTTATTACTTCATAACTGTAATTTTGCTACTGTTACGTCTTAGGCAACCCCTGTGAAAGGGTCGTTCAACCCCCAAAGTGGTTATGACCCACAGGTTGAGAACCGCTGCCTTAATGGGAACCGAACCCGGGAGACTCTGGTCCACAGGCCAATGCTCTAACCACTGAGCCAAACCAGCCAGGGCTCTGCAGACATTTTTATTGTGAAACCTAGGGAGCAGCTGGGGTTGCTGATGGCATCTAGTGGGTAGAGGCCAGGGATGCTGCTAGACATCCTACAATGAAGTATATCCCCTTACAACAGAGATCTGGCTCAAAATGTTAATAGTGTTGTGGTTGGGAAAATCTGTGTTGGGAGAAAATCAGCAGGTAGAAGGAAGAATAGTCCTGTATGGGAAGTTGAGAGATTTAGGTTTGAGTGAAATAATTTCACCTAAGTCTCAGTTTCCTCCTTTGTGGTAGCTCCAGGTTACCTCTAAGATCCTGCCCACCTTGACTGTTTTCGCCATGTAACCTCTGAGCAGAGTGGGTACAGAAAACCCAGGGCAGAGGGGACCCAGGGGTGGCAGCATCTCCCTCCACTCCAGGTGAATTGTCTCCTGTTTCTAAGGCATGAGCTGGTTGCATGTCAAAAGCTGGAATGCTGATTGACACCAAAATTCTCATTCAACATAAAAGAAGGGAGAAGGGTATTCTAATTAATCAAATATTATTTTTAACTGAAAATTAGGAATCACTAACCTGTGGGTTTACAGTTAACACTAAAAAGTCTGATGGGCAATAGTATAATCTTTGATTCAGACTCTTGCAGACTACAAGTACAGGCATGCCTCAGAGATATTGTGGGTTCGTTTCCAGACCACTGCAATAAAGAGAGTCGGAATCTTTTTGCTGGTGAAGGGTCTTGCCTTCAGTTTGTATTTAAAAAAAAAAAAAGCAACATCTGTGAAGTGCAATAAAATGAGGTATGCCTGCATTTTCTGTTTTGTACTGGTAAAATGGGGGAAAGAGGCTTTTTGTGGGTAGAATGTCAGATGATTCACTATTCTAAACACATTTTGTTAGGTGTGTGTTTTCTTTGCAGACATTTTTTTCCTTAATTCTCTTTTAAAAGTTACTTGAAGCCCATCCTTACACACAGTGGCCCCCCATTAACCACCACTCTCCCAGCCTGGTGTGGCTTGCTTGCTCGATGTCTGACCAGTCCCCAGGTGTATGACGTAAGTACAGTATGTCAGGGCTGCATTCCTGTTCAGCCTCCAAATTCACAGATTTTGATTCTTCAATAAGATGATTACAAATAACCAGCTTACATATGCTTAATACATTGTGCACAGCAACAGAGAAACCTTTTGCCAGGGTTATAGGCTCCTGAACATCAGCAGCTGTGGTGTAGTAGAGAGAACATTAGAAATGGAACCAGAACAACTAGACCGACAGATTAAAAAGTTACTATTATTATTTCCAACCCTGCTGATAGCTTATGTACTAAAAGCTGTCTTTTTCTGAATACTGAATAGCTTGCTCAGTTTGGACCTCTGTCTAGCAGGAGTGGGGAACGTCCGGCCTGCGGGCCATATAAGGCCCACGAAATCAATACCAGCTAACATCACATGCCTTACCAAATTAGCCTGATCAAATATAGCAGGCTAATTTTTAGGTTGATAATTTTGTATGGCCCACAAATGATGTTATAAATATGTAAATGGCTCTTGGCAGAAGAAAGGTTCCTCACCCCTGGAAGTGACAGTATGGGTCATTTGGATTTTTTTTTTTTTTTTTTTTTAAGCATCAGAGACATCATGACCCGGCATTATGACTTGTCCCATTGTTGAAGCTCCAATTGATTACACCCTTCAATCTTATGTTTCATTGGGTTTAAGTGTTTCTTTGCCCCCTGGCTTCTAGTCTCTCTTAAACAGTTTCTAAAACCTTCCATCTTAATTAAGTTTTGTAAGGGTCACTGTCCATGTCTATGTAATAGTATGAAAACTAACCCACTATTAAAACTTTATAAAAACCTTATCTAATCTGAAGCTTATCAATTATTCCTTTGCTCATTGATTAGGGGCATCTGAACTAGTTTGAATTCAGCATAAACTCAGTAAACTTCCAGATACTTAAATTGAAAATATTTCCCTCACCAATTTGAGAGTCTTCTCAAGGTTTGCTTCCTGGGGTAATGTTTGGGCTGTGTACTCCCCACAGCCAGCCTAAGATGGGGTCACTTGAGCTACACGCCAGAATTACTGTCCACACTGCTGCTGCTGATTTGGAGCTAGAGTCCTGGCCAGGGTTTCAGTCAGTTCCAGACACAGCAAGGCCTGTTTTTGAGAGAGTTGAAGCAAAGAGTCTTTGAAAACTTAAGAGAATCCCAAAGGTGAGACAATGGAGGACCTCTCTGCAGAGTTTAGTGTTGGGTGAGGGTATTGGACTAGGCCACTGTAATGGCTGTTTGACATACTATTATGTGGGCCTCACTTTCACCTACAGGGCGTTTGTCTTTCGCTAAGTTTATTTGGAAGATATCTAAGATGTTCATTATTCACCATTTCCACTCACTCCAAACCACTTAGGTTTGTTATCTGCCTAGAAAACAGTATTTTTCCACTTATGAAAATGACCTCTGGTTATTTAAAATGTGCATGTTCCCACAATACACTTTTTTGCAGGTGTTTATAGTGTTATTTTGCTGCATTTTCATAGCAGCCTGCAGTGGACAGCTAGATATATAATTATGCAAACCTTCAGCTTAGCCAAACTGTAAATTTTTTTTTTTTACTTTATTGATTTTAGAGACAGCAGAAGGGAGAGGGAGAGAAACAGAAACATAGATGAGAGAGAACATCGATTGGCTGCCTCCTGTGTGCCCCCCACTGGGGATTGGGCCTACAACCTGGGCATGTGCCCTGACCGGGAATTGAACCGGTGACCTTTTGGTGCATGAACTGATGCTCAACCACTGACCCATACAGGCCGGGCATTAACCAAACTTTTGTTCATCTTGTTATCTAGAATTTGAGGGAGTGGATTGGTTTCATCATCTACATACAACATTCATTAAGCTCTGACTTGGAAATCCCTCTCCACTATGTCCTTGTTTGTGAATGACCTTTCTTTGGGTGCTGTTTGTCTGGGCTTATCAGTCATGTGATGCAATAGGTCAACCTTTAGTCTCTTCTGTTGGTGAATTTTGGCCTTGTTTCCCACTGCAAGGGGTCAGAGGGGCTCACACCAGGGTTCCAACTGCAGTTACTCTGTGTTGCTGTGTGTGTGTGTGTGTGGGGGGTGACTTGGCTTACATTTGCAGAATTACCCTCAAATGCAGTTATTTTATATTCCTCTCTGTCCCTCTGAGGCTCCGAACTTTTAAAGAATGAAATATATGCCGAAGAGTCTCCCCCTGAAATCTGGGAGCTAAGAGCCTTGGGAGAGGTATTTTGACAGCAGTGAACAAAAACAATACTTAGTACATGTACAGATGGGAGAAATGCAACACACTAAAACAGGGAACTTGATGTCATTTGTTGTTAAGAAACCTATCACAAGGCAGACAGTTTCAGGACTTTCTAAATGGTAATGGAGAGGAAGAAATTGGGGGAGTTTGGAGCAAGTTTTAGAATTTCTCTTTGACCAGAGGTCTCTTATTTAATCACACATTTACATTCTGCCTCATTCCTGTGAGGATTTGAGGCAGCAAGCAAGAGGAGTTGCGTGCTTGTCTGTTAGAAGAGCTGCAGCACTGATTAAGTGGAGTCACATTATGGAGTTTGGAGAAGTCGACATCACTGAGAAACAATGTAGAAAACACAGATGTGCTCATCACCAGTAAGGGCGCAGAGATGGGCTGGGACAGGAGAAGCAAGGTAGGCATAACCCAGGAGTCCTCCCTAGGTTAGTGTATTTAATAGGCATTCATATAGCACCTACTTGAGTTAAGCACCCCCAAGGAAGGGTGCCAAGAAGAGGAGAAGGAAGTCACTGCCCTTTGGTGATTCCTCATCTAGATAGGGAATTCCAGGCACGGACACAGGAGAATCTGCCAATGGCCTTGGGCAGTGTGGCTGAGTGGGGACCATGAGGCTGTCAGGGAGGCAGGTTCAGGTCCTGCACCAAGGAGACCCTGTTGTGTAGAGGACAATTATGCAGGACTTCAGATGTGCTTTGAATGGTAGCTAGGGAATAGGAGACAAAGAGTAGTTTTAAACTGTGTTTGCCATTCAAGAAAGAAGTCCACGATGTTTGGCAGTGGTGCAGCAGGGTAGAGGGGGAGTGCACTGCCCCTTGTTTTGCTTGTTGAACCCGCTGGAGAATGAAAGGTTGTCTGACCTCACACTGTTGTTTCCTGCCATTCTCTCCCTGCCATCTTTTAGTTTCAAGTGGCTGCCACTTGGCTAATGCCTGTCTTGCACAACCTGGTCTGTTTTCCTACAACTGCTACTTAGTATGAGATGCCATGCCAGTTCTTTTCCTGACAGGGTGACTTTTCACATCTTTTATATGGACAGAGCCAATCTGGAGGGAGCATAAATTCAAACCCTGCTTCCTACCAGCTGGACAACCTTTTCTTCCCTTTTGTCAAGAACTGTCAGACATTTAATATCACAACTGCTTTTTGCTTTTCCAAGTCCTAGTTCAGGCAACAGTGCTATACATTGAATAGCACTCCATAGTTTATATCCAGTTATGCTAAAGGCTCAAGGCAGGCAAGTTTCATGATAACCAGTTTCAGATGAGAAGTTGAGTTGGGGGTTGGCTGGAACTCTGGTCTTCAGTTGTTATTTGTTGCACTTTTCAGAACCAAGAGCCACTGAGAGAGGAAGACTCTGATTTCATCCTGACTGAGGGTGACCTCACATTGACCTACGGGGACAGCACAGTGACTGCCAATGGCTCCTCAGGCTCCCACACGGCCTCCATGAGCCTCGAGGGCAGTCGAAGAACAAAGAGCAGTTCTGAGGAGGTGCTGGATCGAGACCTGGGAATGGGAGACCAGAAGGTTTCAAGCCGAGGCACTCGCCTAGTGTTCCCCCTGGAGGATAATGCATGACTTTCCCCCCAAACCCTGAAGCAATGGGGTAGACCCACCGGTGGTGTGGGGCTGGCTGCATGCTCCAGTGTTGTTTGAGGTGGGACCATGACTGAATGGAATTAACGCTTCTATTTTATTGAGGTCTGAAGATATCTTAACATTTAAAATTTAACCCAAGATACAGATGGTGGAGCTCAAGTGTCTCTAAATCAAGACAAATGCAGACCTATTCCCACTTTTTCACATATTAGTGCACTGTTCAGAGTTAAACAAACAAAAACAATCGCATGCTTTACTGGTCTCTTAATACATTCACCTGCGGTACCTGAATGAGGTGTGGTAGGTGTTGGGGATCCCTCCCAGGAGAGGCTTCATATCCATACACAGCAGTGTGAGTCCAGCTGGATGTAGGAATATTACATGAGGGGAGAACAGGCTAGAAGAAAGATCATGAAAGAAGGCAAGTGAGATTGGACCTCCAGGGATTAGGGTAAGCTGGTGTTAAATGGGACAGAAAACATGAAAAAGCAATTTGAGTGGAGGCTCTGACAACAAGGGCTGAGTGATAGCAGCCTCATCTCAGGATTCCTGACTTCGTTTGCTACCTGTATTTTCTCTAGACTGACGATTGGAAAATATATCTATCAACATTTCAACATGGGGGGAAAGAATTATAACTCCTTCTCTGGAAATCTCCATAAAGAAGAAGTTACTGAACTGTTTAAAACCAAAGGCAAAACAGTGTGATACTATTCTTTTTTAATTAATCTGATGGCAGCAGAAACTGATGATGATATCACTATAAAAATTAGTCAATTCCTGAGGGCTGCCATGTGAGCTGACTGCCTGGAAAATGATTAACAGGACTGAGATATCTTCTGTGGGTTTAGAAACAACACCAAAACTTGTAGAGTGATTTGATCTGGGGAAGAGAAGGCAGTAAGAAGCCTAAGAAGCAATAGGCTAGTATTCAGAGGGAAGAAATCTCACTGTGAAAAAATAACTGCAAAGAAAACACAAGGTAGTATTCTAAAGACTGAGTAGAATTCTAAACCAAGCTAAGAAATGCATGAGATTTCAGTGGCCACCCAAAGAATCAGAGGTGAGTCAGTGGAAAGTTAAGCTTTATTCAATCCAGTGGAAGTTTCTGTCTACTATAAGATTAAGAACCTGGATGTCTTGACACTGAGTGCCATGTAGAAAAGAGTCATTTTCTTGGTATCTGGAGAGGCTTGTACTAGTTTAATGTGTGAGTGTGGTCTGAAATTTAGGTTTTTAGTTTAGGTTCTTTTGTGGGTGAGCTATTCTACCTGCCCGCACCTATAAGTGAATACTGAGAAAACTCTTGGAAACCAAGTTTGAGATTCTCCTTGTGCTCTATGCTTCAGTGCTATTATATTTGAAAACCCGATTTCTAGAAAATGCTTTCATTAAATATGGGCATTTTTCTTGTTACAGCAGATAAAATAATGGACCCATCTAATGCACCCATCATGAAACAGCCATTTAATATTAACTCACATTTTTAATTTATTTTTTATTTTTTTATCCTCACCTGAGGACATTTTTCCATTTTTTGTTCAGATAGAGTGGGAGGGAGAGAGAGAGGGAGAAACATTGACATGAAAGGGACACATTGAGTGGTTGCCACCCACACGACCCAACCAGGGCCGGGGACAAACTGCAACCGTTAACTCACATTTTTAATGATTAATTTCTAAATAACACATTATTTCATATTTTGTTTTTCAATTGATAATTTGTGCAAACCAAGAAAAAAATATTACTTTGAGCCATATGAAATTGCTGCTATACAACAATTTTTAAGAAACAGGAATGATAATTTCATATGGTTCAATATAATAGAATTGAATGATTTTTATTCCTCTCTTTCCATTTTGTCTACACTAAAGTTTGTAAATTTGGAAAAAAAGGCTAAACATACCTAATCCCATGCTTCCTCTACGCTGGGTAGTAATAAGTAGGTTGCCACAAAGCCCAGAAACTATCTAACCCAAGGCTGTTTGCTGTCATTCTGGCGTAAACCAGTTTGAAACTGCTGAGTAATGGTACATCCAACTAAACAAAGTTCCTCTAAGAGGGTAATCCCAAGTCATCTCATAAACATATTTTTTCCGGGTTTAGGGAAGGTTACAGTTCATCAGACTCAGATGTTCTAGAGCAGAGGTTCTCGACCTTGGCTGCACATTAGGATTATCTGGCCCATTATTGAAAATATCAACACAAGGGCCTACCCTCAGAGATCCAGATTCAGTAGGTTTAGGGTGGGGCCAGGCTTCCGTGCTGTGTTTGTCAGGGATTTTAATTTGCAACTAGGGTTGAGAGCCTTTAGAACTTGTAGCAGACCCTATTCACAACCTCAAAGAATGACCTAGCAAATTAAGTTTCTCACAAAATTGTTAATCATGTGGAACAAATTGAATGTTGATCAGTAATACAGCTGGTAGCTGTGAGTTTCATGCTAATAATGTTTGTAGAACTGAAGAATGTATTCCATAAAGTACAACTAAAAAAAAAAGAGGTCACATTTAAAAACTAGAGCATGAAAGGGAGAGAAGGGTGACTTGAGTGTATATATTAGGGGGGGGGGGTTTAAAAACCTGTCATCTTAGCCCCCATTTGTGGAAAAAAAGGTGTTTAGTCGTTTAGTCTTAACTGAGCTGCTGACTAATCAAATGTGAAATTTCTGAGAAGCTGTCTTTTCAGTTTAACCTGGGATTATATTAGTAGTCCCCTTTGCAGTCAAGTGAACTTTCTCTTCACACTTCGCTTGTTCCCATGCCTGAATGCACACTGGATTCCTTAGAACAAGGGTGGGCCTGTTTACTGCCAGAGCACAAGCCCCATATTAAGTGGAAGGTTGTGATCACTTTGCTGACATGTGGTGGTGGTATCGGTAGCTGGTAATTAAGGAGATGCAAACTTTTGTGTAGCACTGACAGAAGGAATATATGGACTTCTGCCCTTCTTTTTAATGTTTTTTTTTGGGACTACCAGGGGACCTAAACTTTCTCTCCTAGAGAAGGAAATTTGGAATTTAAATAAGGCTGCATTTCTTCCTAGGAAGCAAGTGTGGGAAAGGCATATGTGACTAAATGGACACTAACCATCCAGGATACATACTGGGGTGACCAGACAAATGAGCATTGATGCCTTGAAGCTGAAAACCACACTGCGACATCAAATGTTTCATCAAACAAACAGCAAGGCACTTTTAGGCTGTGGTCCCTAGACCTGAAAACATCCTCTATGGTTTGGTTGACAAAACAAATTTTAGAAAACACCAAAAATGTTATCTTAGCTATACATTAACATTTCGGTCTAGGGCAAAGAAGTGATAGTTCATTCGAAATAGAGGTCTGTTTCACATCCTTCTCTCATCCCCTATCATATCTTTCCCTTTCTGTGTCCATAGTTGAAGTTAATGTAATAATCTCAGATATTTAATGTGAACAATGACTCCTAAATGTAGAAACACCATCAATGAATTTAGAGACCGGTGGGAACTCATCAGAGGGGAAATCATCTGCTTGGAAACCTACCTTGGTGCCCGCTGGGAGTTCTTTTTTTAAAAAAATTTTTTCTTTGTTGATTTAAGAGAGATAGGAAGGGAGAGGGAGAGAGAGATAGAAACATCGATGAGAGAGAGCATCGATTGGCCGCCTTCTGCATGCCCCCCACTGGGGATTGGGCCCACAACCTGGGCATGTGCCCTGACCCAGAATCAAACTGGTGACCTCTTGGTACATGGGTTGAAGCTGAATCACTGAGCCACACCGGCTGGGCACCACTGTGAGTTCTAAGAGGTGTATCAGAAAGCTGATTTTACCAACTGTTGTCAAATGTAATCTGGAATGAGTGTTTTGCTGTAAAGTTAACTTTGCTGGTTCAATAAATATATGATTTTTTATTCTACTTCAGAAATGCGGACTTGACAAGTTTCATGCCTGTCTTTGGTGTTGATTCTGTAGATGAGTTAGTGTAGGAGCTAGTCTGTCAGAACTTTTAGACTGGTATCATTGAGTTATGATCTCTTCTGTTATTATTTAAGTGGGAATCTGGCTTGCCAGTGTCATTTGCTACGTTCTGACACAGTAAGTTGAAGGAATCCAGTGGCCAAGAGTTAGAATTTAGAAACAACCCATCTGAATACTGTTTTCACCACTTTGAAGACCTTCCCCCTTTCTGAAACCTAGTAAGAACAACATACAGAGAAATACTCTAGAAACCAATGTGCATGTCTGACTAGGAAAAGCAACTAGGATTTTTGACAATCCTTTCAAAACAAGATTTAGAAGTAAACCGTATTTTCCAGTTTCAATTTTCTTAAGTAGAGTTTTTAAAAATTAATGAACACATCTTGTCTTGTCACCCAGTGCTAGAAGAAATTGTAAAGAGCAAAACTAAAGTTTTTGATGTAAGTTTTATTTTTGTAAGCAGGGTAAACTGTAACTATGGTCCACATGGAACACATAGGCGGCCAGTTTTCTGCTACTTGAGCCTTGGAGAAGATGACAAGGAACGTCTGCCTGTTCTGCCTTTTGAAAAGGTCTGAAACAGACATGAGAGCACTTGGGAGAGGCCACACTCTCATTCTGGTGGCAACCTTTTAAAAAGGGTTAATAGGATTGCCAAATGTCATAGTCAACTCAATTCTTGGCCAGTGGAAAATTATTTGGGCCTGTGTATGTTGGAGGAGCTGAGATAGAAAAGGACTTGTAAACAGCATGAATAACTAACTCTACATCTCCGTCTAAAGCACTTAAAAGTTAAGATCCCAGTGTTACTGGGTGACTGTCTAACTGCATGGATATTTGAGGGATAACTTGTTGATTATTTCAGTTGTGGGCTTTGGAGAAGCAGAGGAATGGTTTTCAGTTGTGTGGATGTTAAGTCTATGGATTTGGAATTTATCACTGAAATCACTCATTCAAAGTGTGACTTCATAATAGGATCATCTCCTCCTAGGTTGTCTTTTTCTTCTTTACATAAAATACATCTGGTCTTCTTACTTAAAAGTTTTATGTTCACTAAAATGATTAAATGGGAAGGCTACCAAGATTCACTTATAGCTGAAAAGCAATTTTTAAAATAGAATAGGATGAATTTAATATGAATGATGTGACCTCCAGGAGAGCTTTTTATAGAGAGCTTATATACTGTAATTGGGGAGAATTTTGTCTTCTACTTCCATTCAACAGTGGCAAACTGCTGGTTTTATAAGATTAACATTATAGTATGTTATATAAACATGTTATATAAAAATATTGAAATATGTTTAACTGTGAAAAAGTGAAGACTTGGAGTTATCAGCAACCTTTATGTGCAATAAAGAAAACTGAAGTTAGACCCCAAAGAGCTGTCTTTCCCTAGCATCCTACTTAATATTTGCCTTTGTGTATATGTTTAGATTGATATTATAAAGCTAGTCACATGTTTTCCTGCCTTTGCTGATATTTAACACATTTTTCTCAAAGCTTTTTCTGTATTTTTTTTAACAAAACTCAAAATAAAAAGACTAACTGGCTGAACTAATCTTGTTTTATATTTTAAAAGCATTGTCCTGCCCTGGTGGGTTTGGCTCAGCAGTTAGAGTGTTGTCCTGCAGTCCAGAGAGACCCGGGTTCGGTTCCCGCTAAGGGCACGTACCTCGGTTGCAGTTTGTCACCGGCCCTGGTGGGGTCGTGTGGGTGGCAACCACTCGATGTGTCCTTTCACGTCGATGTTTCTCTCTCTCTCTCCCTCCCACTCTATCTGAACAAAAAAAATGGAAAAAATATCCTCAGGTGAGGATAAAAAAATAAATAAATAATAAATAAATAATAAATAAATAAAAGTATTGTCCGTTATTAGAAGGGTGTAGTATGATCCTATTGTTTGTCTCTCCCTTGGAAGCTATTCCTCTTCAGCTTCATTTAGACCAGGGGTTGACAAATTATAGCCAGCCTATGGATCCAATCTGGCCCACTGCCTGTTTAGAAAATAAAGTTTTATTGCCATTCACCATGCTCATTCATTTGCATATTGTCTGTGACTGCTTTCATGCAGAACTGAGTGAGGAGTTGTGACAGAAGTGAGCAACTATTTGCTTATAAAACCTGAACTCTTTACTGTCTGGCTTGGTACAGAAAATGTTTTTGCCAACCCCTAATATAGATGCTTGAAAAACTTTAGTTTTAAAATGGGGTCTAAAAATCACGGCAACAGATTTTTGAGATTTTAAAAAATGTGTCTTGCCCTGGCTGGTGTGGCTCAGTTGGTTTGACATCATCCTGTACACCAAAAGGTCGCTGGTTCAATTCCCAGTCAGGGCACATGCCTGGGTTGCTGGCTCGATCCCCAGTAGGGGTCCTGCAGGCGGCAAGCCAATTGATGTGAAATCAATGTTACACTCTCACATCGGTGATTCTTTTTCTCTCTCCCTCTTCCTTCCTCTCCCTAAAAATCAATAAAAATATATTTTTAATATGCCTTAGGGTTATAAAACCACTCTAAACTTGATCTCTGCCTATGACTTTTCCTGGTCTGAAAGTCTTTAACAGGCTTTGGTTGTTGGATAATTGCTAAGAATCTTGAACCCAACATAGTTTCCTTTATAGTCTTCATATTCCTTTGTATGTAGATCAGCTTTTCCCAGAACCATGCAATCGAACTACATCATAAAATCCAAAGCTTCCTAGCAAAACAAAACAAATCCTGTCATTAGCATGACTCCAGTCATTTAATAGTATAAGTACAAAAACACCAGATAGAACAATTTAAAAGCACATACTTGTTTTGGTTCATTAGGGTTCTCCCACCCTACAGAGAGAAATTACTTTTTAAAAATCAGTTCAGGGGTGGGGGCAAGGGGTGCTATTTGAAGAAGAGCTGGATGAGTCAGATTTAAAACAATATCACCAAGACTTTTATTTAATATTAAGTAATGTAATCAAGACACACAGGACTGCACTTGGCCCTTATTCACATTGATGTTTTTGTCTAGACACCTGCTAATGGTAAATGGCACCAAATCACGTCTCTTCTTTGTTGTGAGGACGCCTTGTTGAAGTGGTTCCAGCTGAGGCAGATTCAGGCTGAGAACTAAAGCTCTTCCTATTTTATTGCCATAATTATCCACATTGCACTGTCACTTCCTTACGGGAAACTTTGTTTTAACCAATGTGTCAGCCTTTATTTAATAAGCTCATGCTAGTCCTGCTCTGCAGAACTGCACAGCAGTTGGTACCAAATCAAGTCCCAGTCTTTGACAGCGTGATAAATTGTCTCCACAGCATGGCTTCTCCAGTGCTGGGGCAACATGCTGAGTGCCCTGGTTTGTGATGACTGACCTGGAAGGAAAGGAACAAAGGATGTTTGAACTTCAGAATATCGAAATCCACAAACAGAAAGCCTGTTGAACCCTGATGATATAAGGCCTCTTAATTATGAAACCTGTAATCTTCCTTATCTAAGCTGCATTATCCAATGCTGGAAATCCATATAGAACCAGTAACTATCATTTCTGCTTTGTGAAGACAGGCCAGGAGTAAACGTGACTCAAGAGGTGTTGGTGAGAATAAAGACAGGAAAAAGATGTGTGCCAAATTTGACAGTATGACTGCTTTCTGCAGCTGCTGCTGTGGGGTGCCTGTTAAAGAGAATAGAGCTTTCTGAGACCTGCTGGGTAGAGTGGGGAAAATAGCTGGGACTGAAGCTGTACCTTTAGGGATCAACCATGTAACCATCCATCCTACACTTGTGTACTGCTTCACATGTGCAAAATAAATTCTGCCAACAACAATTGGCTGTTTTGTACAGCTGAGGCTGTATATAAGCAACGAGTCCATCTTCTCTGAAATTTTTTTCTTCTTTTATTAAAACATATTGCTTGTGTCACTGTATGGGAGCAGCACAGAGTGGGCTGAATCTGAGTTTTTATACTAGTTCTGTAATCAGTCTTTTGTGATCCTTCCTCTGATCCTGGATGTGTGCCAAATTTGACATTACTATTTTCTAGTGTGTTGAAACTGTTCATCACCTTAATAGAAAGACTGATGCAGAGTTTGAGAAGGAAGCACTTTCAACATGATTAGAAGGGTACAATGAAGATTCACATTAAGCATTAAGGAAAAGCTAATTTTATAAAAGTCTTTCTATGAACCTTTAGTATTCTATTAGTACAGGTTTTTTACATAAAAAGAGCCACTGTGTCAAATTTCAGTATATTTTAGTTTAATAAAAGCCAATTTCCAGATGGGCTAACTCGAGTTCCAAATAAGATGGACTAAATACATTTCTCCTTATTCCTCCCACAAAGTATAACTGAAATCCATGAACATGATATATAAAACAAAGATAAAACTCTGAAGGGTGAGGAAAAGAAGGTGGACTGACTACAGACCTTGGGCAATGCAAACATAGCTGTGAGTTCCCCAAGTTTTCCTTTTGCCTCCTCTATATCCTGGAATGGGTGCTAAAGCAGCCCACAGAAATTATCCCCCTTCCTATCAGCAGAGGCCTAGTGAGAAGCCAGGACTTCTGGACTAGCATCCCCACCTGGAAGTAAGCAACACCCCTTCAGTGTCAGTGGAGGCCTGCTAAAACAGAAGATTTAAATAAAATTCAGAGATTCATCACATATGTTCAAATGTTCAGGATACAATGAAAAAAAAATTACCTGTCAAACCAAGAAACAGGGAAATTTCAATGTGAATGAGAAAACACAACTGACAGTTGCCAACACTGAATAATGAAATTATCCAAAAAGGATTTTAAGCCACTACCATAAAAATGCTTCAATTAGCAATGACAAATACACTTGAAATATACAAAATAAATAATTTCTTGGCAAATAAATATAAAAAAGAACCAAATGGAAATGTTAGAATTGTAAAGATTTACAACTATAAAATCACCAAAACTTAAAAAGCTCACTGGATGAGCTCAATGGCAGAATGGAGATGACAATAAATAATTAGTAAATCTGGGGATTCCAAAATGGCAGCAGAGTGAATGGAAGCTACACAGATCATCTCCCAGGACCAAACTGGAATTACAATGAAATAAAGACAAATCGTTGGGAAAAAGCAACAGAAAAGCAGCTCGCGAGGACCATATAACCAGGGACACTGACTCGATCCTGGTAGGATTGTGGAGGTGCAAGAGGGGGACTGGGAACCCACGGACAGCAGCGGCCTTAACTGTGAGTGGCATCCTCGGGGTTACACTCTCGAGTGGCTCCACAGTGAAGTGCCAGGACAGATATTAAAATAGCCAAAGCCACTCACCTGGGGCTCTAGCAGAGGGAGAGCATACTGGACTGGAACTGTGTGGGAACACTCGGGAGTTGGAGGACACTCAGAACTTTTGCTGAGTTGTGGCCACGCAGGAAGGTAGTCATCTTACTCCTTCCCAAGGCTCTGGGGAGAGGCAGTGGCCCCTCCCTCAGAGATTCAACACCACCCAGGTGGGCTATTGAAATGAAAATTGAGGCCAATTAACAACCAGCATCTGCCCTGCCTTCAAGAGATCCCCTTACCCTGAACACTTGAGGGACTTTTTCAGTCAACTGAGAACCCAAGGCTCTTCAAGTAACCTCCACTAATAGCCCCAAGGCAAAAAGCTAGAGAATAACTGAAACTTTCCTGGGCTTGCAACTCTACCCAGGAAAGCAAGACTTGACAGGGGTGTTTAACATGGGTCCTCCCTCACTCATCCAAACCCAGCAGAGGGAGCCACAAACAGCAGAACACCAACACCCACAGGGAAAATTTGGCAGGCTCCGAAACCCACTGAGATAGCCAAAATGGTGAAACAAAGACACAAATCCCAAATGAAAGAACAAGAGACCTCTAGAAGAGATGAGATAAATGACATGCAAGTTAAGCAGTTAACAGAGCTAGAATTCAGAGCCATGATCTTGAGGAAGCTCTACAGCAGAAGTAAGGACATCAACACCATGAGTAAAGACATAGAAACATTGAAAATCAACCAACTGGAAATTAAAAACCACCAAGAAGCAATGAAGAATGACAGCAGAAATAAAGAACACATTGGAAGGACTAAACAGCACAGCAGAGGAAGCTGAGGACCGGATCAGTGAATTAGAAGACAGGGTAGAAAAAAATCAACGAATCAGAAAACTAAAAGGAAAAAGAAATTAAAAAACAGGAAGACAACTTTAGAGAACTTTGGGAAACAGGAAATGTAATAATATTCGCATCATAGGAGTCCTCGAAGAAGAAGAGAATGAGCAGGGGTTAGAGAATATATTTGAAGAAATAGTGACAGAAAACTTTCCTAATTTGGTGAAGGAAGAAGGCATTCAAGTTCAAGAAGCACAGAAAGCCCCAAGTAAGAAGAACCCAAACAGGGCCACGCCAATACACATACTAATTAAAATGCCAAAAATTAAAGATTAAAGACAAAAAGAGAATCCTAAAGGCAGCAAGAGATAAGCAACAGGTTACCTACAAAAGAACCCCCATAAGGCTCTCACCTGACTTCTCAAAAGAAACACTACAGGCCAGAAGGGAATGGTGTGAGGTAATCAAGGTCATGAAAAAGAAGGATCTGAATCCAAGAGTACTCTACCCAGCAAGGCTATCATTCAAAATAGAAGGTCAAATAAAGAGCTTCCCAGAAAAAAAGAAGGCTAAGGTAATTCATTAGCACCAAACCAGCACTGCAAGAAATGTTAAAAGGACTGCTGTAATTAGTAGAAGAAATTGGAAGAAATATAGAACCACACTAAACAAAAATGGCAATAAATATGTACATATCAATAATCACCTTAAATGTAAATGGATTGAATGTTCCGATAAAAAGACACAGAGTAGCTGATTGGATAAGAAAGTATGACTCATATATATGTTGTTTACAAGAGACCCAACTCACAAAAAAAAACCCCACATAGGGGAAAGTGAACAGATGGAAAAAAATCTTCTAAGCAAACGAAAAGGAAAAAAAAAAGCTGAGGTAGCAATACTCATATCTGATAAAATAGGTTTCAAAATGAAGGCCATAACTAGAGACAAATAAGGCCACTACATAATGTTGAAAGAAACTATCCAAAAGGAAGATATAATCTTGGTAAACATATATGCACCCAATATAGGTGTACCAAAATATACTAAAAATCTTCTGGAGGACTTCAAAGGAGAAATATACAGCAATACAATCAAAGCACGGGATTTCAACACCTTGTTGATATCCCTGGATAGATCCTCTAGACAAAAAATTGGCAAGGAAACAGAGGCTCTAAATGAAGCACTAGACCAAATGGATTTAATAGATATCTACAGAGAATTACACCCCAAAAGTACAGAATTCACATTCTTCTCGAGTGTACATGGGCCATTCTCAAAGATAGACAACATGTTAGGGCAGAAACTAAATCTCTACAAGTTCAAGAAGATTGAAATCATATCAAGCATCTTCTAAGATCACAATAGCATGAAACTAGAAATCAACTGCAACAAGAACATGCAAAGACATTTAAACACATAGAGGCTAAATAGCATGTTATTAAACAATGAATGAGTTACCGAGGAGATTAAGGAAGAAATTAAAAATCACCTGGAAACCAATGAAAATGAGCACACAACAACACAAAATCTATGGGATGCAGCAAAAGCAGTTATGAGAGGGAAGTTCATAGCACTACAGGCCTACCTCAGGAAACAGGAAATATATCTAACAGACTATCTAATCTCACATCTTAAAGAACTAGGAAGCAAACAAAAAGAAAATCACAGAGCAAGTAGAAGGAAGGAAATAGTAAAGATCAGAGCAGAAATAAATGACATAAAGACCAAAAAAAAAATTCAAAGGATCAAGGAAACAAAGAGCTGGTTTTTTGAAAAGATAAAGAAGATTGATGAACCCTTAGCTAGACTCCCCAAGAAACAAGGAGAGAGAACCCAAACACACAAAATCAGAAATGAAAGAGGAGAAGTAACAACTGACACCACAGAAATACAAAGAATCATTAACAAATACTATGAACAATTATATGGCAACAAATTCGACAATCTAAGTGAAATTGACACATTTCTAGAAACACATAGTCTCCCAAAACTGGACCAGAAAGAGATAGAAAATTTGAACAGACCAATAACAACTAAGGAAATTGAAGATGTAATCAAGACTCTTCCAGCTAACAAAAGCCCAGGCCTGGACAACTTCATGGGGAAATTTTACTGAACATTGAAAGAAGAAATACCACCCATTCTCCTCAAACTATTTCAAAAAATTTATGAAGAAGGAAGACTTGTAAACTTGTTTTATGAGGCCAGCATAATTCTAATTCTAAAACCAGAAAAAGAAACTACAAAGAAAGAAAACTACA